CTGGCACCCGCATTCAGCGACGCCAAATATTTGGCACTGCTGTGAATAGTTTAGTCGCAAAGTGAAGAATCACCGGCAAAAGGGCCCAAAACTTCGAGGTGGGTTGATTTCAGCTTTAAGTAGCCCTGGTGGAAGTTAAATCAATGCGATCACTGGGCAAAGTGTTTATTGAAATGGGGAAATTTTCTTGGTGCATTTCCCTATGTCCAGCTATGCAACAAGATCAGGGTGCCGATGGTCAGTTCTTGAGCTTCGAACTGGCAGAAAGGTGAGAAATTGTCGCTTTTTGACCATTTGTGCCCACTTGTCACTTCCAACGTACCTCTATAACATAACCCAGGTGTGATGTGAGTGATCGCATTGATTTAATTTTTGGTTTACTTGTAGGCGGCTGGCACCCGCATTCAGTGACGCCGAAAATTTGGGACTGCTGTGAATAGTTTAGTCGCAAAGTGAACAATCACGGGCACAAGGGCCCAAAACTTCGAGATGGATTGATTTCAGCTTTGAGCAGCCCTGGGCGAAGTGTTTATTGAAGTGTGGAATTTTTTCTTGGTGCACTTCCCTATGTCTAGCTATACAACAAGATCAGGGTGGCGATGGTCAGTTCTTGAGCTTCGAAAAGACAGAAAGGTGAGAAATTGTCGCGTTTTGACCATTTGTGCCCATGTGTCACTTCCAACGTACCTCGCTATAACATGACCCAGCTGGGATGTGAGTGGTCGCATTGATTTGATTTTAGGTTTGCTTATAGGCCGCTGCCACCCGCTGTCAGTGACGCCGAAAAGTTGGCATTGCTGTGAATAGTTTAGTCGCAAAGTGAAGAATCACGGGCAAAAAGGCCCAAAACTTCGAGCTAGGTTGATATCAGCTTTGAGCAGCCCTGGGGGAAGTGTTTATTGAAATGTGGAATTTTTTCTTGGTTCACTTCCCTATGTCCAGCTCTGCAACAAGATCAGGGTGTCGATGGTAAGTTCTTGAGCTTCGAACGCGCAGAAAGGTGAGAAATTGTCGCTTTTTGACCATTTATGCCCACGTGTCACTTTCAACGTACCTCTGTATAACATGACCCAGCTGTGATGTGAGTGGTCGCATTGATTTAATTTTTGGGTTACTTGTAGGCCGCTGGCACCCGCATTCAGCGACGCCGAAAATTTGGGACTGCTGTGAATAGTTTAGTCGCAAAGTGAAGAATCACCGGCAAAAGGGCCCAAAACTTCGAGATGGATTGATTTCAGCTTTGAATAGCCGGTGGAAGTTTTTATTGAAATGTGGAATTTTTTCTTCGTGCACTTCCCTATGTCCAGTTATACAAAAAGATCAGGGTTGCGATGGCCAGTTCTTGAGCTTCGAACTGGCAGAGAGGTGAGAAATTGTCGCGTTTTGACCATTTGTGCACACGTGTCACTTTCAACGAACCTCTCTATAACATGACCCAGCTGTGATGTGAGTGGTCGCATTGATTTGATTTTTGGTTTGCTTATAGGCCGCTGCCACCCGCTGTTAGTGACGCCGAAAATTTGGCACTGCTGTGAAAAGTTTAGTTGCAAAGTGAAGAATCACGGGCAAAAAGGCCCAAAACTTCGAGATGGATTGATTTCAGCTTTGAGCAGCCCTGGGGAAGTGTTTATTGAAATGTGGAATTTTTTCTTGGTCCACTTCCCTATGTCCAGCTATGCAACAAGATCAGGGTGGCAATGGTCAGTTCTTGAGCTTCGAACTGGCAGAAAGGTGAGAAATTGTCGCGTTTTGACCATTTGTGCCCACGTGTCACTTCCAGCGTACCTCCCTATAACATGACCCAGCTGGGATGTAAGTGGTCGCATTGATTTCATTTTTAGTTTGCTTGTAGGCCGCTGGCACCCGAATTCAGTGACGCCGAAAATTTGGCACTGCTATGAATAGTTTAGTCGCAAAGTGAAGAATCACGGGCAAAAGGGCCCAAAACTTCGAGATGGATTGATTTCAGCTTTGAGTAGCCCTCGGCGAAGTGTTTATTGAAATGTAGAATTTTTTCTTGGTGCACTTCCCTATGTCCAGCTATGTAACAAGATCAGGGTGTCGATGGTCAGTTCTTGAGCTTCGAACGGGCAGAAAGGTGAGAAATTGTCGCTTTTTGACCATTTGTGCCCACGTGTCACTTTCAACGTACCTCTGTATAACATGACCCAGCTGTGATGTGAGTGATCGCATTGATTTAATTTTTGGTTTACTTGTAGGCCGCTGGCACCCGCATTCAGCGACGCCAAACATTTCTGCTGCTGTGAATAGTTTAGTCGCAAAGTGAAGAATCACCGGCAAAAGGGCCCAAAACTTCGAGATGGATTGATTTCAGCTTTATGCAGCCCTGGGGGAAGTGTTTTTTGAAGTGTGGAATATTTTCTTGGTGCACTTCCCTATGTCTAGCTATACAACAAGATCAGGGTTGCGATGGTCAGTTCTTGAGCTTCGAACGGGCAGAAAGGTGAGAAATAGTCGCTTTTTGAATCACGGGCCAAAAGGCCCAAAAGGCCCAAAACTTCGAGATAGATAGATTTCAGCTTTCAGCAGCCCTGGGGGAAGTGTTTATTGAAATGTGGAATTTTTTCTTGGTGGACTTCCCTATGTCCAGCTATGCAAAAAGGATCAGGGTGGCAATCGTCAGTTGTTGAGCTTCGAACTGGCAGAAAGGTGAGAAATTGTCGCTTTTTGACCATTTGTGCCCACGTGTCACTTCCAACGTACCTCTCTATAACATGACCCAGGTGGGATGTAAGTGGTCGCATTGATTTCATTTTTGGTTTGCTTGTAGGCCGCTGGCAACCGCATTCAGTGACGCCGAAAATTAGGCACTGCTGTGAATAGTTTAGTCGCAAAGTGAAGAATCACGGGCAAAAGGGCCCAAAACTTCGAGATGGATTGATTTCAGCTTTGAGCAGCCCTGGGCGAAGTGTTTATTGAAATGTAGAATTTTTTCTTGGTTCACTTCCCTATGTCTAGCTATGCAACAAGATCTGGGTGGAGATGGCCAGTTGTTGAGCTTCGAACGGGCAGAAAGGTGAGAAATTGTCGCTTTTTGACCATTTGTGCCAACGTGTAACTTTCAACTCTACCTCTGTACAACATGAACCAGCTGGGATGTGAGTGGTCGCATTGATTTGTTTTTGGTTTGCTTGTAGGCCGCTGGCACCCGCATTCAGTGACGCCGAAAATTTGGGACTGCTGTGAATAGTTTAGTCGCAAAGTGAAGAATCACGGGCAAAAAGGCCCAAAACTTCGAGGCAGGTTGATATCAGCTTTAAGCAGCTCTGGGCGAAGTGTTTATTGAAATGGGGAAATTTTCTTGGTGCATTTCCCTATGTCCAGCTATACAACAAGATCCGGGTGGCGATGGTCAGTTCTTGATCTTCGAACTGGCAGTAAGGTGAGAAATTGTCGCTTTTTGACCATTTGTGCCCACGTGTCACTTTCAACGTACCTCTGTATAACATGACCCAGCTTTGATTTGATTTTTGGTTTGCTTATAGGCCGCTGCCACCCGCCGTCAGTGCACTTTCCTATGTCCAGCTATGCAACAAGATCAGGGTGTCGATGGTCAGTTCTTGAGCTTCGAACGGGCAGAAAGGTGAGAAATTGTCGCTTTTTGACCATTTTTGCCCACGTGTCACTTTCAACGTACCTCTGTATCACACGACTCAGCTGTGATGTGAGTGATCGCATTGATTTCATTTTTGGTTTACTTGCAGGCCGCTGGCATTCGCATTCAGCGACGCCGAAAATTTGGGACTGCTGTGAATAGTTTAGTCGCAAAGTGAAGAATCACCGGCAAAAGGGCCCAAAACTTCGAGATGGATTGATTTCAGCTTTGAGTAGCCCTGGGGGAAATCTTTATTGAAGTGTGGAATTTGTTCTTGGTGCACTTCCCTATGTCCAGCTATATAAAAAATATCAGGGTGGCGATGGTCAGTTCTTGAGCTTCGAACTGGCAGAAAGGTGAGAAATTGTCGCGTTTTGACCATTTGTGCACACGTGTCACTTCCAACGTACCTCTCTATAACATGACCCAGCTGTGATGTGAGTGGTCGCATTAATTTGATTTTTGGTTTGCTTATCGGCCGCTGCCATCCACTGTTAGTGACGCCGAAAATTTGGCACTGCTGTGAATAGTTTAGTCGCAAAGTGAAGAATCACGAGCAAAAGGGCCCAAAACTCCGAGATAGATAGATTTCAGCTTTGAGCAGCCCTGGGGGAAGTGTTTATTGAAATGTGGAATTTTTTCTTGGTGCACTTCCCTACGTCCAGGTATGCAAAAGGTTCAGGGTGGCAATCGTCAGTTCTTGAGCTTCAAACGGGCAGAAAGGTGAGAAATTGTCGCTTTTTGACCATTTGTGCCCACGTGTCACTTCCAACGTACCTCTCTATAACATGACCCAGCTGAGATGGGAGTGATCGCATTGATTTCATTTTTGGTTTACTTGTAGGCCGCTGGCACCCACATTCAGTGACGACGAAAATTTGGGACTGCTGTGAATAGTTTAGTCGCAAAGTGAAGAATCACGGGCAAAAGAGCCCAAAACTTTGAGATGGATTGATTTCAGCTTTGAGCAGCCCCGGGGGAAGTGTTTATTGAAGTTTGGAATTTTTTTTGGTGCACTTCCCTATGTCCAGCTATACAACAAGATGGCAGAAACTGGCAGAAAGGTGAGAAATTGTCGCGTTTTGACCATTTGTGCCCACGTGTCACTTCCAACGTACCTCTCTATAACATGACCCAGCTGTGATGTGAGTGGTCGGATTGATTTGATTTTAGGTTTGCTTATAGGCCGCTGCTACCCGCTGTTAGTGACGCCGAAAATTTGGTACTGCTGTGAATAGTTTAGTCGCAAAGTGAAGAATCACGGGCCAAAAGGCCCAAAACTTCGAGATAGATAGATTTCAGCTTTGAGCAGCCCTGGGGGAAGTGTTTATTGAAATGTGGAATTTTTTCTTGGTGCACTTCCCTATGGCCAGCTATGCAATACGATCAGGGTGGCGATGGTCAGTTCTTGAGCTTCGAACTGGCAGAAAGGTGAGAAATTGTCGCTTTTTGACCATTTGTGCCCACGTATCACTTCCAACGTACCTCTCTATAACATGACCCAGCTGGGATGTGAGTGGTCGCATTGATTTTATTTTAGGTTTGCTGATAAGCTGCTGCCACCTGCTGTCAGTGACGCCGAAAATTAGGCACTGCTGTGAATAGTTTAGTCGCAAAGTGAAGAATCACGGACAAAAAGGCCCAAGGATAGGTTGATATCAGCTTTGAGCAGCCCTGTATTGAAATGTGGAATTTTTTCTTGGTGCACTTCCCTATGTCCAGCTATGCAAGAAGATTAGGGTGTCGATGGTCAGTTCTTGAGCTTCGAACGGGCAGAAAGGTGAGAAATTGTCGCTTTTTGACCATTTGTGCCCACGTGTCACTTTCAACGTACCTCTGTATAACATGACCCAGCTGTGATGTGAGTGGTCGCATTGATTTGATTTTTGGTTTGCTTATAGGACGCTGCCATCCGCTGTTAGTGACGCCTAAAATTTGGCACTGCTGTGAATAGTTTAGTCGCAAAGTGAAGAATCACGGGCCAAAAGGCCCAAAACTTCGAGATAGATAGATTTCAGCTTTGAGCAGCCCTGGGGGAAGTGTTTATTGAAATGTGGAATTTTTTCTTGGTGCACTTCCCTATGTCCAGCTATGCAAAAGGTTCAGGGTGGCTATCGTCAGTTCTTGAGCTTCGAACGGGCAGAAAGGTAAGAAATTGCCGCTTTTTGACCATTTGTGCCCACGTGTCACTTCCAACGTACCTCTCTATAACATGACCCAGCTGAGATGGGAGAGATCGCATTGATTTAATTTTTGGTTTACTTGTAGGCCGCTGGCACCCGCATTCAGTGACGCTGAAAATTTGGCACTGCTGCGAATAGTTTGTCGCAAAGTGAAGAATCACAGGCAAAAGGGCCCAAAACTTCGAGATAGATGGATTTCAGCTTTGAGTAGCCCTGGGCGAAGTGTTTATGGAAATGTGAAAATTTGTCTTGGTGCACTTCCCTATGTCCAGCTATGCAACAAGATCAGGGTGGCGATGGTCGGTTCTTGAGCTTCGAACGGGCAGAAAGGTGAGAAATTGTCACTTTTTGACCATTTGTGCCCACGTGTCACTTTCAACGTACCTCTGTATAACATTACCCAGCTGTGATGTGAGTGGTCGCATTGATTTCGTTTTTGGTTTACTTGTAGGCCGCTGGCACCCGCATTCAGCGACGCCGAAAATTTGGGACTGTTGTGAATAGTTTAGTCGCAAAGTGAAGAATCACGGGCAAAAAGGCCCAAAACTTCGAGATAGGTTGATTTCAGCCTTGAGCAGACCTGGGCGAGTTGTTTATTGAAATGTGGAATGTTTTCTTGGTGTACTTCCCTATGTCCAGCTATAGAACAAGATCAGGGTGGCGATGGTCAGTTCTTGAGCTTCGAACGGGCAGAAAGGTGAGAAATTGTCGCTTTTTGACCATGTGTGCACACGTGTCACTTTCAACGTGCCTCTGTATAACATGACCCAGTTGTGATGTGAGTGGTCGCATTTATTAGATTTTAAGTTTGCTTTTAGGCCGCTGGCAACCGCATTCAGTGACGCTGAAAGTTTGGGACTGCTGTGAATAGTTTAGTCGCAAAGTGAAGAATCACGGGCAAAAAGGCCCAAAACTTCGAGATAGATTGATTTCAGGTTTGAGCAGACCTGGGCAATTTGTATCTTGTGAATGCCGTTCAATCATACTGTTCTCATTGTGTGTTTGGACAGAGGAACCTGTCTAACGAAAAAGACGGAAGTTGCATGCTGTCTTGACGACCTGAAAATTGTATGATTGTACTTGTATGAATGGTGCTATGCACGTAGAAACTCACCCAGGCCGCTATTCAGTGAACATTCCGCTTGTGTACATGCTGCATTTTCCGGGTTTGACAGCTGCATCGGGGTTTAAGCTGCACCCCCGCCTCCCCTCCTTTCGGGCCCAGCATTTGTATCTTTGTTGATATTCAGTGTATAACAGGCACGTCCGACTTTGAATGTTTTGTCAACCTAACTAGGTATCGGTATATGCGCAACGCGTTGCCAGTGGTTAAAAGTTGAGAAGTACGACCGGAGTTCTAACAAAAGTTACCCAGTTATCCTGCACTCAGTACTGACAACATGTAGAAGCGTCTTGCTAGTACAATGATGTATTACACTACATGAAAAATAGTTGAATGACACATGAATAAAATAGTTGAATGACACATGCACATCAGATGCATACTGTGTTGTAACACTGGTTGATTCACAACATGGGACACGTACTGTCGGGTGAAGTGATTGGGACAAGCTCGGCGATAGCTTTTATATTGCGGGTCAGATTTCAAATGATACCTTTTGCAAGGTGTATCACAGGTCTTCCCTGCTGACTTTTGATTGATCTTTATTCTTACAATGGCCGTAGCCAAATATATTGTACAACATAATAATTATGTTGACAAGCATGTGATAGCGGGTAGGATGTGTAGACTACGATGATGTTGACAAGCATGTGATAGCGGGTAGGATGTGTAGACTACGATGATGTTGACAAGCATGTGATAGCGGGTAGGATGTGTAGACTACGATGATGTTGATAAGCATGTGATAGCGGGTAGGATGTGTAGACTACGATGATCATTAGGTAATACTAGTACGGTAGAGACGCGCGATGAAGAACGTCGAGCCAAAGAACGTCCGGCATGAAATGCTTAGAACGCCACAGCCTAAAGTTAAGAACGGCAGTGTTGGTTTTCCGGCAGCGTTTGGGATAGATATGATCCACAACGAATTGTTTCCAAGAACGTGCTATAAGAATGCAGCAAGATTGCCCAAGAAAAATAATAAGAACGCCCCAGGCCAATCGCTTGGAAACAACGTTCTTGGACGTGCAACTCTACTGTAATACGGATATATGTGTAGTTCATTGCCATGTTTGGTGTGTGTGTGTGTGTATGTGTGTGTTGTGTGTGTGTATGTGTGTGTGTGCCTGCGTAAATGCGTGCACTTGTGCATGCGTGTGTGTAGGCACGGGTGTATTTTTCTTGTTCGTTACTCTCGTTTTTCTCAGGAGGAGGCCAGCTGAGACACTATAGTTGTGATGATGAAAGTTGGGCAATGATGAATACAAGCAAAAGGCTGTTCAAAGAATTTCCAAGTACAACCCTGCAGACCGGGAGCCAAATGAACAGGACCTCGACCAGCTTCAATTACATCTGAACATGTTTCTATAAGGAAGAGTTGACAAGGTACCTGGAGATTACAATGACTCTTACCATCTTGAAAGAACACTCCGCACGCGCACACACGCGAACGGTTTTTTTTGCTTGTTGGCCCGCACACTGCTTGGCGTTTTAGAATATACATATGCCTTGTTACTGTGCAGATACATTGTGTCTGGTATAGCGAAATATGACAAGCACTTGATTGTATTGGGATGAGCGGCCTTTTGGATTATAATGGAACTTGGACTTCACTCCTATGAATCAGATACTGCCAGGCTGCCAAGGATGTGCACACTCGACTGCTTTGGTCACGGGACAAAATCCGGTGGCCCGCACTCCACCGGATTATGTACTGCATTGCATAGCTGGTGCCAATGTAGTGTCCTTTATGTATGGAGATTTGTGATGACCTTGGTGTATGCTATTTACTGTTGCTAACATGCAAAATTCCTACTCCGTCTAGACAAAGCCTTGTAAATTTGAGTTTCCAACTTTTCCATACCTCGGCCAAGATTGCCATGTCCAGCATGGCGAGACAGATAAGTGGAGATAGATTTTGTCAAAATTTACTCCTTTTGTAAATGGAGAGAGAGGGAGAAGGAGATGGATTGATTGAAAGATATAATTATATAGAGGGAGAGAGAGAGAAGGGTGGGTGGGGGAAGAGAGAGAGAGAGGGGGGGGGGGGGAGAGACCAATCAGCAAGCCTGAGAAGAAGCTTCTAAGATTTTCTGCTCCAGTGGAGTTTTCCTGCTTGTTTCTGCTCCCTCATGCAGAAACAATAAGCGTTCAGCCATCAGCAGGCTAAGAAAAAAACACATGCTTAACTCTGATTGGCCAGTCGTTTCAGGTGTGAAGTGCTGAGCCAGGATAGGCTATAAAAGTAATCATTCCAGGAGGGACTCTGATTGGCCGATGGCGATTGGCCAGTCATTTCAGGTGTGAAGTGCTGAGCCAGGATAGGCTATAAAAGTAATCATTCCAGGAGGGGATGGTGGTCGGGGTTTGGGATGGCAGATTTGAAGTATAGATTTTCTTCTCAGCTTAAACTTCTGCATGAGGAAGGAGAAACACTGTTGTTTCTGCATGAGCAGTCGTTTCAGGTGTGAAGTGCTGAGCCAGGATAGGCTATAAAAGTAATCATTCCAGGAGGGACTCCGATTGGCCGATGGCGATTGGCCAGTCATTTCAGGTGTGAAGTGCTGAGCCAGGATAGGCTATAAAAGTAATCATTCCAGGAGGGGATGGTGGTCGGGGTTTGGGATGGCAGATTTGAAGTATAGATTTTCTTCTCAGCTTAAACTTCTGCATGAGGAAGGAGAAACACTGTTGTTTCTGCATGAGGGTAGAATGGGGATGGTGGTCGGGGTTTGGGTTCGGGGTTAGATTTTCTTCTCCAGGCTTGTTTCTCCTCCTTCATGCAGAAAAAGAACAAGAATTCAGCCATCAGCAGGCCAAGAAGATAACACTTGTTGAACTCTGATTGGTTGAGGGTGGTTGACACCAGCCATTTCAGAATTTTTAGAATTCTCTCTGCCGGCTTAGAGAATTCTAAAATTCAGTCAATCCGAGTTCACTCTACCTGAAGCAGGGACGTATACCCTAGTACCCAATCACAACCCTATTTCAAACAGCACTCGAGCTAGACACTGAGTGCCGTTACATCCAAATATCTCCTTTCTGCCATCACTCACACATACACACACACTATTGGCTCATTGGACGCCCATTGCCCGAAGCGATGCTAATGATGCTACAACAGCTATAGCCACTTGTGCTGGGATTGCACAATTCAACAGCTTGCAAGGCTGAAGAATTGACTGCCACTATTCAGCCTGGTCTACACCACACAGCTATGAAGTGGCTTTTTCTGGCCAGTGAATCCCTATTTTTTTTCATGCACACACATCACATCACATACTGTGGCATGCACTGGCTGTTGGTAACCACCGAGAATGAAAGAAAAGTCAGGAGGAGTCTGAGAAAGAGAAGAAAGACGTGCACACGCACACACACAATAGAATTGTACCGCACAACTAATCGAGTATGACGGTAGCATGGGGTGTACGTTCCAAGCGGCAGGGAGACCCAGAGGCCCCGCACAATACACTGCCGCAGAAGCATGGTACACTGCACCTTACAAGCTACGATGTCAAATCAAATCACCCAACTCTCCCGGCATTAGAATTCTCTTCGCCGGCTTGGGGAATTCTAAATTCCATCAATCAATCAATCAGAGTTCAGTATGAGGCAGGACTTCGGTCATCAGCACGCTAAGAAGGAAATGGAATGCTGATGGCTGAAGTCCTACCTCCTTTACTTTGCAATGAAATCCACCGATCGAGTCCCTTTAAAAAGTACATTGCCCTGGACCTGTGATCACCGAGCTGCTGCGAGTAGGGCAGCGCCTACTTGACTCACATGAAAGGATTTCATTGAGCAACTCTCGACCTGAAGCAGGGATCAATAGCCCCCCCCCCCCTACACACACACACATAAGCACACTCTGCTAAAAGCTGCAATCCGGTGGAGGCAAGCATACCGGTATGGATACCCTAGTACCCAATCACAACCCTATTTCAAACAGCACTTGAACCAGACACTGAATGCCGTTGCATACAAATATCTCCTTTCTCCCACCGCTCACGCACACGCACACACACACACACACACCTTACTGCTAACAATAGAATTGTACTGAACAACTAATCGAATATGACGGTAGCACGAGGTGTTCGTTCCAAGCGGCAGGGAGGCCCAGAGGCCTCGCACAATACACTGCCGCAGAAGCATGGTACACTGTACCTTACAAGCTACAATGTCACATCCAATCACCCAGCTCTCCC